GAACCCGGGGCAACTCCGACGCCTTCGCCCGCTCGTAACGTATGGTCCACGCCTTCGACGACATCCAGACCGCCGCCAGCGGCCACAGGCGCACCGCGGCTCGCGTTTTCGGTCGAAGCGCTTCGGCGCCCGGCGGACATTCGCGAGGCGCCCAAAAATCGGCGCGCGACCAAAGATGCGTCGCACCATCGACTCGCACCATGATGGCGAGCATCCGGTCGCAAGAGCGCCCGAGAACTCATCGATTCACCGCCGCATGGCTGGACCGCTGGATTACGGCGTTTTGGGGCCCACGCTGTAGACGCACGCGCGCGTCTTTTCTGGAGCCAAGGAGCTGGTTACGGACGGCCCATAGGTCACAGACAACAGCGTAACCCGCGCGGGGGCTCACGGGGGCGCACGCGCGGTACGCGGGCGCCGGCAATCTCTTGCCACAGCCATGAGGACAAGAGATCCGGGCCGCTTCACGAGGGGTAACTTTGGTTGTGGCTTGCGAGCGTCAGCGGCAAACCGCCACTCATTAAGGTAAAACCAGCCATGAATCTCTTCCGGTTTGCGGGCGATATGAGCCACGTGGTTTCGATCATTGTCTTGATCCTTCGGCTTCGAGTGTCCAAATCTGCTGTGGGAATTTCAATTAAGACGCAAGAGTTGTTCCTTATTGTTTTCGTTACCCGGCACTCACGCCGTGTCTGTTGGAATTGCACCTTGTTGCGACGTCTAGTCTCACTCGCGCTCGTTGCGTAGGTACCTCGACCTCTTCACGACCTTCTACTCGATGTACAACTCATTCATGAAAGTTGCGTCTGTCCGCCCTGCGCTTGAATGGTCATTTTCGTAGTCCTCTTGCAATGGCTGCATTAGGTATATCACGGCAACGGCGTCGATTATTTACATGATACGGTTCAAGGAACCGTACAAATCTAAGTACGACAAGTCTCAAGACTCGTTTTTACACGTCAAATTTGCCGTCGCGCCTTGCGCTGTGCTTGCGCTTTTCTCGTGTCTCATTAAGCGAGAACTCAACCCGATTGATCTTTTATGGACATTCTCTATATTCCTCGAGGCTCTGGCTATTGTTCCGCAGCTTTTTGTCCTCCAGCGGTATCGAGAGGTTGAGAACCTCACAGGGCACTATGTCTTCTTCCTTGGCGCATATCGATTCCTCTATATCCTAAATTGGGTTTATCGCTCTTACTACGAACCATTTTATCGTCACAACTGGCTTGTCTATGTTTCCGGAGCTATCCAGACCGCTCTATATGTCGATTTCTTCTATTATTACATGGTCTCCAAATACTATGGTGGCAAACTTACACTCCCCACTTAGTCAAGGTCAAAGTCTTCCGGAGCATTCTTAACGTGATGAATCAGGCGAAACAAGATGTCTGGATTTAGACCAACTCCATATTGTCCGGCAAATATTTCCAGTACTGCATCTGCTGTTAGGACAACATGGGGGAACGTCCTTCATTTGCTAGCCAATAAACATGTCGATCCTAACTAATCGATTTATTCCTGGTTTGCTCTGGCACAACTTCTGGTAGCTGCCGTTGCAGCTGTGCGTTGCGCGTGCGGGCTGTTGCGGGCACGCCCCGGTCCGTGGTATTTGTGCGATACTTTCTGCTGCGTTTCGTGTTGATTGGTGGTAATTTCGCGCGGTAGTGCTGCCCGCAGACGGTGCTGAGCGGCGCGGCTATTCAAACTTGGCCTGCGGGTGGCGGTTGCAACATGTCACGGTCGTTGCGAGACTCCACGAATGGTCAGAGGCCTGTTCCTATGTCTGGTGTGGCTGCTGCCAGCGATTCGCCACCAACGGTGGCGGTTTCGTTGGCGGGCATCAGCCTATCTAAACGATTACAGGACATGCTTGGGCCCGCGTTGTCAGCGCGTCGTCGTAAAGCGTTCATAAGTGCATGCAAATAGAGAGTTTTCCTTAGTTAGAGGATCCCGATCCTAAGGACTTGGATAGAAAATGACGCTGCTCTTTCGCAGTGATTTCTTCAATGGATTGCTGGCGGAAGTTATAAGAATAATAGCACTATCACTCAATTACAAGGTCACTTTCAATCAGGTCATGCTGGACCAGGTCAACTCTCCTTCATTCTATTAGTATTTTTTAGCTAGATCTCAAGAGCTCGCCGAGAATACCTTAAATTTACAATCTTAGGCTGAGCGGATTTGCTAGGGCTGAGCATTACCGGAATTACCTAAGACCCACGGAGGCCCTTAGGGTGTACGTAAGGGCTCCGACGTACGTGGCATGTCACAGAACATACTCGTGCTCCCCCTGAGGTTGAAGTGCAAGGTTTGAGGTTGAAGTCCAAGTTGACGCGGCGTTTAACATATCCCGCCGGCGGGACATGCTAGGCCGAGGCCCACCAACTCGGCGCCGCTCGGCGCGACGACCCGGGCTCGCATTTAGTTATGAGACGCACCTCCAATGGGCACTACCACCGCGGGGTTCTCGCAGGTTCCGGGGGGGCAGAGGCGCTTCCTGCGTGTTTAGTCCGTCGCTTTTTCGCTTGGACTGAGCAAGGGACCCGGGGTGTCGGGGAATCGGGGTGTTGCATCGACATGTTTGTGTCATAGGGAGACTGAAACGGTGAGTGCATAGAGTGCGTATCACTTTCTCCGTTTGATCTTGGAGTCCCCGGCACATTGGGATCTGGATGCTGCTCGAAGCTCATCCGGCCATTCAAAGTTGCAAGGGCAAGCTTGGTATTGGCAGCGATGAACATTGCTATAATCGCAAAGGAAGCTGCAGCGCTTGCGAGGAGACCAAACGTGAGAGCTCTCTTTTCAGTATTCTGAAGTGAGTTCAACAGTGACTGCACCGACGAATTTGTGCAAAATTCACGCGTGGACGCTGTTGGGTCTTGAACATATTTATTGTGACAATTCACAGAATCATTACTCTCAGTATGAACTCTCTTTATCGTCGTACGCAAAGGACAGGGTTTGCAGACAGGCATATTCGGCTTCATGTCCGCAGCCTTCAATGCAGACGCTTGGAGTTCTGCCTCAAAATCAGTAAGCGACAGTTCTCGCACGGCAATCTCACGCTCTGCAATACCAACATTGCCAGCCGCATCAGCAACGGAGTAAGGAACGGCAAAAAAGTACTCTATATTACCTGCACTCGTTATTCTTGTACGCTTTTGCCGTGGCAGACCAAGGATAATTGATTCTGGGGGTAAAACAATACTATGGCCCGATACAGCATCAAAGTCGGTCGCTGTTGCACAGCGCCCGGCATCCGGACGATCACAGAGAGCCTCTGGTGAGGATCTGATTAGTTCTGTAATTTCATCAGAAATTTCACGAGACACATCTGGCACGTGCATCGTGGAGCTAGCAATCAACGCTGGGAGCCGTTCACGTCGGCAGCGCTCGATTCTGATTTCAATTGGATTTGGCCCCCAAAGTGTCAGCGAAGGCTTTTCTATATCAAGGCATCCGGAAGCATTTACATATCCCCGGGGCTTGCGCCAGCCTCCGGAATCCCAGTAACTCACCTTATTTGCAAAGCCGTCGCCGATGGTCCCTCTAGAGCATTTGCACGAGTAACCATCGACGAGATTCACGCATTTTGCCGCATCCACACACTGATGCGCACACGCACCTAAACACGTTGTCTGGGTTCATGATGTGAGGCGGGGCACAGGTTGGCACTCTTACTACTGCACTCATCCAGGTCAACGACGTTCACCACTCGTTTTGCTTCTACAAAGGGAGGAGAAGTCCACGGCGTGTCGATGCGGTACGCGACATTGTAGGTACCGATCTTGAAGTAGGGTGTCTTATCGCGAGTACCGCCCCCTCGATCACGCGATGGAAAATCGAGAGGCTCGCTGTAATGTATAGACAGAGTGCGCTCATAAGCGGCTGCATTTTCATCAACAATAAGAACACCGAGCTCCTCGTAGGGCGCAGAGCATTGGTCAAGGTCTACGACAGCGGGGCCATTTAGTTGTAACACAGGCAGCGTTTCATCAACGCAGCCGACCGAGTGATCCACATGCTTAAACCCCTTATCACAATCACATCGGACCTCATTGCCGTCATCAATACATTTCGCTCGTTCACCGCAAGTAACGTCTAGACACCGATCTCTGACACCGCGCTGGCACCCACACGGTAGATTCTCGGGACTTGTTGGTGTGCCCATGGAGTC